CTGGTGTTTTCAGGTCACTGAATTCTCAGACAAGTAGAAAAACTTCATGTAGTAACAAAGTGACCTATAATTTTCAGAAAATTCATATCTCTGAATGAATTTAGAGAACATCTAATTTTGTATAAATGTCTTCTACCACCTGCTATGGTGGTGTTCTCTTCTTGGCCAGCCCCCATTGAATGGACTATTAGCATGGACTGTTAGCAAGAACTTTTGCATGTTTTGGTGACTGTCAGGGATGTTGAGCCTCTGCCATCAGAGCCCCTGGGAAGCCACACAGCTGCACAGACTTTTCTGCACACTGCCAGTCTTCTGGAGTCTGTCTCAGGGCTTCAGCAAGCTACACCTGCTTCCACATTAAGTGATAAATGTGAGAATTTTCAGTGGCCACCTTCAAGCAGACCTGGGTAATTGCCAAGCACTGGAATCTCTGGGGATTTTGAAGACTAATTTTGCTGGCCCTGTTTCCTGAAGCAGCAGTGTCTCAAGTCTGCAGATAATATTTTTTCATCTTCCATAGATATGTGCATCAAATTCCAAGACTTCACCTTTTACCAGCACCAAACATCAGTTCTTCTCACAACTGGGAAGAGAAAGACTGCAGTCTCTCATATGGAAGGGATGTCCTACTCCATGAAAACGTCCCACTGCAGAATAATTTGTTATTACTTGACAACAGCATATTCTAGATACAGGCCCAGAGACTCACTGGGGCAGACTAAAAGCCTAGATCTGAGTCCCATTCCTGGTCTGGGATTTGTATCCTGGTCTCACTTTGCTTTTTTTTTTACTAAGAATCGTTAGTGAATGCTGAATACTGCTGAGATTTGAGAAAGTAATTTATTTTTCACAGACAGGAGAGTAGATCATCAAAAGTGGTATGGACAAGCTGGAGCCATATAGATTCCTAAATAGCATCAGTGGGGATTGCAGCAGAATCATCAGCTAGAGGTACCATATCTGAGGGTGCCTTGTTTGTGGGTGAGTGGATGGGTGTGTGCACCTCTCAGTGGAGGCAGCAAAGCCTGCAAGCTTGCTGTGGGCAGCAGTCTGCTACAGTAATGCACATAAGTCTTCAGAACAGTGGTTTTTTCCTGTGATGTTTCTGGGGATGCTGTGAAATGTGACCAATTCATGATGTTGCTCTGAACGCCACTCAAAGAAGGATCCTTAAGTCCTAAGATACAAGCAACAAGATACATCTACTGATGACAGTAAGTCTAAGTGGCTTATATTCAGTAAAATATTATTTCTTCTCATTAGCAATGTCATTAATATTTAATTTTTGTAAGTGTGAATTTTTCTTTGTAGTGCCACTAGTGTGGTGGTCTGCAAAAAAAAATAATAATTTTTATAGTCAATATTCTCTCAGTATATAGCCTACACTGTTTCTGAAGTTGGTATAAAGTCATACCAGCTAACTCTATTTGCCTTAGGTTGCTGCATTTATCTTCCAGATTCCTTTTGAATCAGCAGGCATCTTGTGTGGCTTTTGTAGTATTTGGATCAGATGTATAGTGTGTAATTCCTCCTTCTTCTTCCTCTCACCCCCTGAAATATTCGGTAAGAAAGTTATAATCTGAGTGTGTCACCACTGAGTCAGGAATGGGAATGAAGGTGACACACTCCATGCATTTTCAGAAGGCATAAAAGCTACTTTATTACAAAACTTCATGTTTTTATAAGCAACGTCATTCACCCAGAACCTGATTGATTCTTAATGACACCTGTCACCCCACTGTTTAATTAGGAACCACACCTCTTTGTAAATATCTTTCCATAACATCATGTATCCCATGTTCCACATGTTCACAAACACCAGCTGCAGAGACTTAAGATAAGAAATGTTTTAATTCTTTTTCTGAGCTCTCTCAGAACTTCCCCAGGACAATGCCTGGGAAAGTTACCTGTTGCTTTTCCTGATTAAACTGTCAGCATCCACAGAAGTGTAACTCTATCGGGCCAGAGTTTTAGTTCCTATAAAAGAGAATAGATTTTTTTTCAAGTCAGTAAAATGCTGCTTATTTAGATGAACTTATTGTCTTCACCTACAGCCTAATATCTCTTTAATAAGGCATGAAACTCACCAAACTTATGGATCTGAAAACCATAACTGCCTAGACTATATTTTACTCTGAAGCCAAAGTCCTATGCAATGACAGCTTAGTGTCACCTAACTTCTATTAATTATTTCCCTTGTTATCTCTGGACAGAGCTTTGGTGCCTACCAAAACAAACTATCATTTCTTCCTGTGAAATGCTGTTTTCTGGTCCTCTGGTTTGTTATATGTTTGGTTCACTGTAGATTCAGTGACAGATTCAAGAGAAAAGAGCTTTAGTGACAGCCCTGCTTCAGACTGAAATAATGGAATTTATGGCAATTATAAACATATGTTGGATTTTTTTTTTTCAGAAAGGATTTTCTTAGTTTTAGTTGGCTGAATAGCAGTGTGAAAACACATGTACACCATGAATGTATTTAAATTGGTACTAATAAACTTTAATATTGTAGAATACAGTCTTTTTCTTCTCAGAGATCTGATGCAATTGAAAAGGTGAATTGGATGGAATATGAAATCTCAAAAGTTTCATCTTCAGCTGAAGTGTTTTGGTGAGAATATTGCTTTTTCAGTTAGAAAGCAGAGTAAGTTGTTGGTGTTTTTTTCCATGCTAAGAAGTCTTTCATACTTCTGTGGAGATGGAGCAATTCTGAAACTAGCAGAATTATTTTGGATTCATGCTGATATTACTAACATCAAAATATGACTGTAGGAGTAAAATGGTGCATTTGTGACACAGCACAGCATAAAGAGTTACTACATTTAGGATGTAGAAAAACTCAGGCCGTAGAAAGCAAACACTCAATGAATTTTGTAATAGTATAAAAACACAACAGATCAAAGAGGGGAAAGACAAATGATGTGCATTTAACCTAAGCATCAGGAAATAGTGTGTTTATAGTGTGCACAGTAATCAGCAAGGGAAATTGAACCAAATATACTTTTTGCTAACTTTGCATCTTAATCAAAAGCGCAGCTGCTCTTGGAACATGAATCATCCTATGATAATATAGGGAAGCTGAAATTCAGGCACAATCAACCCCTCCCCACCCCATGTTGTATTGCACCACTTTGGCTTAAGTTGTTTGAATGTTAAAAGTTTTTGGGGCACTTCTCAAAAGCTTTTTAAGGCATTCAAAGAGAAGAAAGTTGCTAAATAAAATTCTCTAGGCTGTCTTAAAGTTCCGCCTCCATTTGAACTTCAGTTATCAAACCTGATGCAAAAACCATTTGCTTCTTTCATGATATAGTATCCAGACTAAAGGCATGATTCAAATCTCATATCCTTGTCAGCTCAAATCAAAGTCTTGAAACTAAAAGAGAGAAAAGGTCTGATTCTGTTTTCACTCCCATCAATCTAGAGAAAAAGCTCACTTGAGTACAGCTATTGTAGAAGTGAACTCTCTACAACCCAGAGCAGGCTCAATAGCTGGGAGATACTCATCAAACTGAGAGTGCTTGAGCACCTCTTTCTTATGGATCAGAAGTAACTTTATTTTTCAGTGTCCATAATTCATTGCACATTGTGTTTCACATGAAAGCCAAAGTGCACAAGCAAGAATTTCCTTGTGTAACGATGTTTTAAATTAAAACTGTCAAATGAGATTTCATCTGCAGCTGCTTATTCTAATGAAGAGTTCCATTCCTTATAAATGTAAACTGATTTTCAGACTTCACTAAGATGTACAGCTGGCCATGCTTTCTTCACTCCAGGTGAGTCTTTCTCCTGATGTCACAGAATTCAAACAATAGGCTGAGGTGGGGGGTTCTTTGGTTGAGGAGTTTTTTTTAATTAATTTTTTGCTTTCTATAATGTGTGATTTTGTTTGATTGAGGATGTTTCCTGTTTTGTTTGCTATGCTGTGTTACAAAAGGTTTATGTAACATCTAAGTCCCAACTGCAAATACTGCCAGCCCTCAAGGGAGTTTTGTACGTCTCGATATTGGCATCACTGCCATGCATCCAAATTCAAAATCCCAGACTGTGTCAAATGTCTTCTAGAAACCTTTTACTGGACCAATTTTTAATTTCTGGTACTGCAGCTAAATGTTGTTGAGCATTTCATGAGATATCCTGATCAAAGCATTTTTCAATGTGGCATTTACGTTGGTTATAAAATAAACCAATACAATATAGAATGTACTGCTTTACGATACCTTGCTGGTATTTATTTTACTCTTCAGCATGGAGAAACAAAAGGAAGAAATTAGTAAAATCACCAACTGATTTCAAGGGTAGGCAAGGAGAAGGTACATTGGCACTTGAAGAAAAATTTTATTTGAATTTAGGCAGAAAATTCAGGTGTTTCCAAACACAGATAAATTACTTCTGATGTACCTCATTGGGTTATTTTAATTGCAGCATTAAACTATTTTATTAGAATGTATTGCCAGCAAGACTTAATTGTAAAAATAAATGTAACTTCATTCTCTTAATTTTTTTTTCTTAAATATTTCAAAGATAGGGGAAATTGGTTTGGTTGTTTGCCCTTCACTACTCCTATAAAGAAAAGCCAGTGTCAATTCAATATAAAATGGTGTCTTTACAAATATATTTTTTTAAAAAATCTTTAGGTATTCATGTTCCCTGACATATTTCTCCTGAACACATGAAGAACAGAAAGACTCCATGCTGTAGAACTAGAAAAACGTGTAGCATTTATTTGCATAAAATATGAATATCTTTAGTTTAAAGTACCAGCTCATTTTTTTACCCTTTAAAAAAGAAATTACTTTAAAAATGCAAATAGAAACCACTCTAGTATTTCTCTTCCTTTTCTTTTATTGTACAGTATTTCCTTTCCTTTTATGTACTACCATCATATGTTTTTGACTTTCAATTAAAGTAAGCAGTTTTTTTACAGCAAAAAAAAGGGATGATTTCTTTAGGAATGGCTGCCTCAGGAGTGTTTTTGTTTTTTCCCACCTCTGTAATTTCAGATGCTGCACAACAAGCATGTGATGGTTCGTGTTGGAGGTGGCTGGGAGACATTTGCAGGTTATTTACTGAAGCACGACCCCTGCCGAATGCTCCAGATCTCCCGAGTAGATGGGAAAACCTCTCCAATCCAGAGCAAGTCTCCAAACATCAGGGACATGAATCCAGACAATTATCTGGTTGTTTCTGCCCATTACAAAACCAAGAAGGAAATTAAGTGAAATAAGCTTCTCATGTGAGTGGGACTTCATGTATGTAGGTCCAAATTATTCTCCCAAGTGTAGTGAATTTAGGTAATGCTTTAAAAGGACTTTGGAAAATTTAACACAGACTGGAAATGACACCCCATTTTGAAGATCTTTGAATTTAGAACTATTTATTTCTAGTACTGTATCTTTTATAGCGAATTACCCTCGATAGGCAGATTACTACAATCGGATAATAAATAGACATATCTTTTTAGCCAAATTATTACTCTTTATTATGTGAATGTATACTTAGAGCTACATAAAGGAGTGCATCCTGTTAATGGAAGAAAATACACAATGAAATGTATTTGTACCAAAATCTTATTACTTTGAATCCCTGACCGTTAGTCTAGTTGAAATATATATATGCAGGTGGAAAATGGGTATTTGGAGAAATTATTTGGTAATGTCTCTTGAAATGAAATAAAATTTGACTATTTGTATGTTTTGCAATCTTTTCTTAATTAGTAGAATATAATGGCTTATTGCATGCCAAACAACTTCTCAAAGCCATTACTTGAAAGAAAAGAAAAAGCCCCTTCGCACCATCTTGCGATTTAAAGCTGAAGACAATGCTGAGTGTTCGCTCTGTGTGCAGATCCTTTCTGTTTTTCACCAAGCTGCCCGGCGTGGAAGCGTGGGGCAGTGGGAGATGGCCCATCCTGTGTCAGACAGGAGAGCTGCTTGGTTCCACAGGTGGTGTTTGCAGCCCTGAGGAAGCAGCAGCAGGAGCACAGCCTCAGCCCCAAGGACGAGTCCCTCTGGAGTCCCAGCACATTGCACTGTTCTGGGGTATGAGCTTTTCCTTCCCTTCTTTTTAATGCTGGTGGTTGTTGTTAAATGTCAAATATTCGTTACCCTGTAAATAAAGTGATTGGCATTCTCACAAATCATTCACACACCTCTAATATAGCTAAAGGTGTATGTGGGCTTCATGATTTTGGCTACTTTCTATGTTTATATTTGGTAATTTATGTGCCTTGTAGCATCCTAGAAAAATAATTTTATAGGATTGTTTCACTGTATAAATTTAAAAATGAAGTAATTTAAAATACTTACACATTTTGAATCTCTTATTATTTGTAATCACTCATCTCTACTTTGCTTCTACCGAATGGATGCCTACAATGCACAAGACTGCTTGCTGCCCTAATAATGAGCTGCACAAAGAAAGGGGCAAACAGATAACACAGAAACACCTGTATTTTTTGAAAATTAATTTTTCTTTGCAGGGAAAAAAATTCAAAAGTATCCTGGAAATTTTTTTTTACTCTTGACTAATATTTTTCTCTATTTTCTGATGTTAAATTTTTTTTTAATGGTCTTATGATCTGCTCCTGTGGTCCTTAAAATTAACAGGAAAATGTCTGTGGGCTAGAAAGGATCAAGACCATCTTTCATGTTCCATGCCTTATTAAACTGTCTCACCTTATTATTGTATCTCACTTCTGTGGAAAAGGCCCACCTCACCATGTAAAAATACCTGCTGAATGCAAACAGTTCACAATTGCTTGGTGCAGCAGACAAAGTAGCAGGACAAAATTCCAAAGTTACAGCCTTTTATTATTATTTTAAAACACTTTCTAGGAAGATTAAACACATATTCAGCAATAAATCTTTTGAAAAGCCATAGGAAGTCTCAGTTGTCATAGAAGTTGTCATATGTCCTCCATAAGGGAGCAGAAAGCAGACCGCAAGCAACATCATTTTATAAAAAATTTAGCATAGCTGAAAAAACCCCATTATCTTAATATAAGCAATGAGAGATCTGTTTTCAAATGAAAAAGGAAGGAAAAAAATCACTCGTAAAAATGTGAGATGTTTATTTAGAAATAATGGCTAGGTTTTTAAACATAATTAATTGGATTTCACAGAATCATTGAGGTTGAAAAGACTTCCAAGATCTTCAAGTTCAACCTTTATTTCCATCATCCAAGACTAAGTTAGTGTTTTTATTATGATGTTGATTTTTTAAATACTTGAATTTGTTTACATATTAATAAATCAGGGCAGATAATTATAAAAAAGGTATTTGTGAGTTTATTTTAATAGTAAACTTCAACAGTCCCAGTAAATCCAAATCAAGATTTTAAACTAAACATGAATCCCTTTATGTGCTTGGACTGTACCTATCAAAAACATCTTTTTTTGTTTTGGGGTACTCAAATGTCTTTTAAAAAATCACATTAAAACACTTCCTGACTTAAAACTTCAACTTTGCAGGTTCCAGAATGGGAGACTATAGGATTTTATTTTAAAGTACTACCAGTACCACCTGATGTAAAAAACATGCAGGTGGGACTTACTGCTTTTGACTGCATTGATGTGAGTGCGAATAATAGAGGAGGAAGTGAAAGCATCAATAAAACAAACAACCAAAGAAACGCAGTAAGCTGGTTAGTCTGGAAGAAGGGGTTGGAGGTAAGTGTTGCTAATCTGATAAACAGTATTTTCATAGTGTATCAAGTCCTGCAGCAATGTAGGAATTGGAAAATTTGTTAGGAACCTATGGCTCAATTTATAAAGCTAAAGCTGAGCAGCAGAATCTTGCTCAAAGGCATACAGCCCTTGTTGCAGTGATAGGGGCAGAACAAATTCAGGTCATTTTCCATTATGTAGTGATTTTAAGTGTCTTGCTGTATAACTTGGTTGAATGTGAATGTTGAGGAGGCTGAAGTTCTAAAACCTTTAACTGATAGGAGCTACAACAAAGCCTTTTCTCAAAGTCCTTGTAGACCAAACCCCATGGGAGATGCCTGTAAATAAATTGTGCTTAATTTCAAAACGGATAAATGATGTAAAATTATTTACAAAAAAAAACATTATTATTGTATAATGTCAAATATGACTCATCATGCTGGAAGCCATTCAATATTAGTTTGGAAATGCAACTGTGATATCTGTTACCACTCTTTATAGGAAGTGCATTCTGTCACCTTGCTATTCATACATTACCTAGAGATTTTTTTCTAAGCAAGATTATTTACATCACTGATTGAAGATAGGGGTTTTACACATCTTTATTATAGGGATAATTGATCCTTCCTTTGCAGTACCACCTTTTTGTCCAACAGCATTTCTCCAACCAGAGAAGATATGGAAAATCTCTGGCAGCTAGTTAAAGGATTGTTGGGGATGAGTGAAACGAGAAGGCAATGTATGTGTGGGAATGTACAGCAAGTTTCTTGTATCTGAAGACATAATCCTGAATTTATTACTCATGTTCACTTTAGATCTGGAAGATGAGCTGTTTGCCACAGCAGAGAGTTACAGAAGCGTCTCCCAGAGATGCTGACAAGGGATGGGCTCTTTTTGGGCTTACCCGCTGTACTGCCTCTGGCAGCAGCCTGAGAGTACCTGACAAGGGAGAGGAGGCACAGTGCTGCTTCTTTGCTGTGTCTCCTGCTTTCTTAGCCTCTGGTGTGTCTTCTAAGGTAAGGTGGAACAGACAGGTGGGACCACAAACATGTTGATGGGGCTGGACAGGCTTTCCCAGACTCTGGAAAAACTGCTGGCACTGCTTGTGCCTGATGAGCTGTGCCTCAAGCACTTAGTCTTGTCATTGTACCAAATCCACATGCTGAAGTCATCTGTGCTCCTCAGAGTCCACTGTCATGCTGCCCATATTTGAGGAGACACAGCTTCTGTGTCTTCCCAAATTTCAGGACATCTGCTACAAACATTCTCTCTCTAGCATGATCTTTGTATTTTAACCATATGGAGTGGCAAATGGTTTCACTTTGTTACTGCAACAAAGATGATGCTATCGCAGTCATGGAGAGTCAGCTTTTCAGTCCAGTTTTTAGCACTGCTTTTTAGCCTGCCAGTTTTTGAAGTACAAGACTGTGCTTTGAGAAGATGAAGGAAAAAGAGTTGCACTGATGTCAATAAAATATATCAACCATCTAGATAATCTATGTGAAAAGGTGCATGTTTACAGCCTCTGAGGTGAAGTAAACCTCCAGGATTGAGGGAAATAAGGACAAAACTGCTGTGGTTCACATAAACTACCTGCTGCACTAAACAATAAGGAAGACAAGGGAAGACTGTAAGGAGAGAGCAGCTCTCATCTGTGTGGCTCTCAGCCCTACTGTTCAGTGGTCAGGTTGCTATTAGCTGTACACTACTGATCTGCTTTCACTGTCAACTGAAACACAGCTTAATCCTTAACAGTAAGTGGTTTTATTTACTCAAATAATTCCCAATCAGTTGAGCCTGGCCAATTGGATATGTATGATATAGGAACATCTTTTAAAACAGCTTTGTAGGCGATTCATAATCTACAACTACACACCCACATCATCTGATGTGGTTCCTTAGCCGTAGAATAAATCCAACATTCAAAATTAGGTCTCTTAAGAAGCACAGACAGCTCTGGCTTTTCCATAAAGGATGGAGAGAGAGAAGAATGATTGTTTTCTCTAGGTTCTTTCAAATGGCTTTAAATGAAAGTGTTCATAGCACTAATGCAAGCAGAGGCTTGGATGACAAGAGACATGGTTATTTGCTCCCCCTGCAGTTTCAGAGGAGCATATAACAGACAATGAAGAGAAAAATGTTTAAAGTTTTAAATACCCCAAGTGACCAACTAAGTGTAGGTATTGCTTACCTACTGTAATGCTAGACTGAAATTCTCATTTCAAATTAATATCTGAGATACCTTTTTATAACTCAAAGCATTTTCAGTAGACTTAAAAAAAATTATTATGAACAGTTAATACGCTGAAGACAGCAATTGCCAGCAATCAAAGGAAACTGAAGGCAGTCTTCAGCCAAGGATACAGCCTTTTTTAGCCCAAACACCATTATGTTAATATTGAAAGTTCTCCCTTCTCAGCTCAATTCTGAAAGCTAAGCCAGGAAACTGTGTCAGGACTGCACTCTCGGGACAACACTGGGCAGTACGGAGATGTGAAAGACAAAATACATAGTTCAGGGGGTGGAAAAAAAGCCTCTGTATCTTGACTAGTCAGAAATGCAGCAATTGTGGTACTGAGCCCATGCATAACGTGCACAGTGCTCTCTGGGGAAAAGAAAATGTTTTTGCACGTAAGTAGTCCACCTAAATAGATAACACAGAAACTTTTGGAAATGAACTGGCAAGATGAAGGCATAGTAGCTGTTTTCCTGTTTGTTTTTCAAAATCCTGAGAAGATTAGCATTGCCCTCTTGTGGTAATAAATGAACACAACTAATAACAGGATTTTTAATTTCATGTTTAACTTTCAGTATTCAGTATAAATATTTAGACTCAAACCCACATGAGAAAACAAGAACAATTATTATACACATAATAAAATTACATTCTTTATCTAAGTACACAGGATTTATAAAGCTTTCTATTTTTTCTTTTACTAGCCACAAAATTATTCCATTTGTAAGGACCCACCATGACTCGACTCTACTTTTTTCGAAAAGGCACTAAATTCCTAAGCAGTGCAAG